CCGCTGGCACTAGAGGCACAGCATGGCCGCGTAGTGACGGCCCCGACCACTGCCGCTCGACCTGACCGGAGAATACCGTAGCAGGGTGCTAGCGGAGTCGTGGTATATATAGTGAAACAGAGCTGCCCGGTAAACCGTAGGCAGAGAGGGAGAAGAGGACAACATACAACATATACGTTAACCGCTAGTGGAGGCCTGAATCCTCGCATGCAAATAAATATCATAGTACAGAATGTGAGACAATTGACTCTGTTTATTTCTTTGTTCGTAGAACTTCGGACTCCTTTTTTTTTGTTTAGTTCTTCGGACTCCTTTTTCCCGCTGATAATCCTTTTCTTTTTTCTTTTTTTTGTCTTTGACAGAAAGGTCTCTCATGGACCCGGGGGAAGGTCCGATGGGCAAACAGTATTGGATTGGATGCCTTAATCTGCATGTGTTTGCGAAAGGGTGCAGAAAATCTAGATGGAACTGCTTTTCTGCATCCCTGCTTAAAACAAGTCCAGATTCAGGAGCTTAATTCAATCCTCTTTGCTAGTGGGACCTCGCCCCTGGCTCCATGTCCATTCTGGAGGAGCATCAGGGCATACTCACACGAGGACCAAAAAACCCAAAATCCCGAAATTTGAGTCATTTTTCGGGTCACACTGGGGAGGCTCGCTACCCAAATGCCTCAAACCGTGAACCTTCTGTCAGCGGCCTGCAGGGCCGCGGGCGTACCCTTTTTGAGACCACCTCTGGAGGTGGTCTCAAATTACCTTTCGTTTTCCTTTTTCCGTTTTCTCGAATTGAAGAGAATCGTAGAAGAAGAAGCCAGCCCAGGTGGTCTCAAATTACCTTTCGTTTTCTTTTTTCCGTTTTCTCGAATTGAAGAGAATCGTAGAAGAAGAAGCCAGCCCGCCAAACAACTGAAAGTGCGACCAGGTACATTTACTTTGCAGATAAGGCCCAAGCGTTATTTTTTTTTTCTTCAAACGATCCATCTTATCGTTTGGTCCTCCCCCGTGTGACCGGGCGCACTTGCCGTGAATGCAAAGTGTCAGGGTCGCGACTGCGTCCTTTCTGGACGAGGTCCGCCCGTGTGACCACGGGGACCAAATGCCTCAAAAAAGGCGAACCAAATGCCTCAAATTTTTGAGACTTTTGGTCCCCGTGTGAGTATGCCCTCAGTCTGGTTCATATTCCACCAGCAAACCACATATTTAATATTTATTCAATTCAATCAAATTCAAAATTATTCAATTCAATAAATAGGTTGACGCTCCCTAGAACGGACAGGACGCCTACCTAGAGAGGATCTGTTTCAACGAAAAGAAAAAAGAAAGAAAGAAAAAAACAAGTTGGGACTTTCTGGTGACCTTCACCTGAACAACCATTGCATGTCAGACCACCAATGAAATCAGAAAAAAAAAAAAAAAAAAAAAAAAAAAA